TATCCTAACCAAGGCAATTTCAAGTAGAATGTTTTTCAACTCACTGGACAAGTTGGGCATGCAAGACATCTATGCACCAACGGGGAGTGTTAAAATGATCCATGCATAATTATAGGAGATTTTATTGTATCATATGATTTTGTTAATTACAGGAAAGACTGGTAGAATTGCCTAATTGATATTGTAATTAGTATTTTCCTGTAATTATTTAATTAGATCAATTAGTTTATATGTTTCCTAAATTAGTTGGCTTTGTACCTATATATTTCTGCTTCCAAGAGAGATGAATGTATGAAAAAACTGCTTCACTACTGCTATGTTTGTCACCACCAAGAATCAATAATTTTCACTGCAACTTTTAACCTAAATTTCCATTTCACTTTTGTAGCCACAATATTTAACTCTTTTGCCAATATTAATGAATGAAAATTTAAATCAAGTATAATCCCAAAGTGACCAATAACAATTGAGATTCTCAAGACATAGACATGACAGCCAAATTATATTATTGGAAAATTGACTTTCAAAATGAAAAAACTCAATGCCATTCAATTACCAGGAACAAAATATGCGGGTTTGTGTGCCATGTCTCCCACAACAGAACTTTCTAGTAGTTACAGAATATATTTCTGCATGTTATGAGATTTCATTGTACAATCAGAAACGATGTAGAAACAACATTTTGGACAAGATGTAGATGAACTAGTAATTCGTAGACCTTCTGCACGTAATCCAGAAGATCCATTGCATATACAATACCAACAATATTGTCAATACGCTCCTCAAAGACAGGTACCCAGCAAACATGAGCACCCAATTCTTGACCAGCAAGACATGTATACCTGGAATATTGATGATCTACCCAGGAATTATGAAAATCATCTAACTTTGTGCTAGAATCGATTGCAACAACATCAACAAGAGGTGTGTCACCACCTCTCTAACATGTGTATCTTTTATCTCTAACACATTTTCAATCATATCCTGTGAGAGAGACAAAAATTAGACTCTTGCCAATGGAAATTAAGAAGGGCATGGAGCTCCATAAATCCATTATACTCACTATGAAGACGATTGATGATTTGAGGAGTTTGGCCAGTTTTAAAAAAAAAAAAAACATATAAAAACTTATTGGGCAAGACAGCAAGTCCAAACGTAATCAGCAGGCCACAGATGGTTGCAGTGTCTACTTTAGTGTTGTAATTTCCATGTGCTTGCAACACAGAAGGTGAAAAACATTGCTGCAACTGCAAGATACACCATTCTTGATTCCTAGACACGTGTTTTTATCAGCACGAGAATGCCTTTCATATTCTTGCATAGTTTTCAATTAGCTAGAAAGAATATGAGAAACGACGAAGATTGGAGTCAGAATCCAGAAACAAATGCTAAAGAAAATGCCAAGTTGACGGTATAACAATTTTCTACATAGTAACTGAGGATAATTATAATTATACTTCCTCTTCATATAATTGACAGAAGGCAATGGATATTATTTTATCTCTTCATACATGACAGTATTTACTTGACAAAAGGTCTATAATTAATAATACCTATGGTGTTGTTTACACAAATTAGTATTGTCATTATTTTTGCAAAAAATTTCTGCAGCAGTTAAGATTTGGTTCTACTAAGGCTTTGCATCATCTACAGCACCCCGATCATTCAGCGTAAAAATGTCAATTGCAACATGAACATTTTTCTCCACTTCCACCGGACTAATAAGATTTGGTTCTACTATGGCTTTGCATCATCTACAGCACCCTGATCATTCTTATAATATGGGGTGTGTGTATCTTACAACAGCATAAAAATCTCAATTGCAGTATGAACATTTTTCTCCACTTCCACTGGATTAATAAGAATTACATGCCACATCTCACACCCTATATCCCGTACTCATTATGTTTTCAATGTGCATGTTCAGACTTATCTTATTAGGCATGGAGAATACTAACCAACGTTTGTTGTTCATAAGAGTAACTGGATTGAGGAGCACAAAGTCTATCAAGAAACATGGTAATACAAATTCTACTAATGGAGGCAAAACAAACGTGCCATGAACTGGGAAAACATATATATATATCAATTCATGATAGACCACACCTTCTTCCTTTCAAACCAAGCAGTTTTAGTGTTCCCATTGACACGTGTTACAACTCTTCCCCCGGTATACAATACAAGGGAAAGCATGCCACTGGCCTAACCTACAGGCATCACACTTCATCAAATATATTAAAAAATAAAAAAAATAAAAAATAAAAAATAAATAAAAGAAGAAGAAGAAGAAGAAGATAATTCGCACTAGATTTGTGTTAATCTTCTTTTCTTCTAGTTTTCTTTTCTTTTCTTTTATTCTTTTTTTATTCTTTTTTTTTTTTCTTTGGGAGGGGAAAGGGAGTAGAAGATTAGATAAATAAATATCTGCAATTTGATCAGAATTTAATTTAAATTCAAAGTAAGAGCAAGCTCTAAACTTACCACAAATCTAGCAACCTCAGTGGCATTGTGAACAGCAATACTTTTTGGAGTAATTTCAGTGAGCATCAAAATGGCAACCTGGTACCATTGATGGAATATATTTCTCTTTTAACAACCAAGAAAAAAGAAATATACGTCTGCAAGATCAGGCAGGGCCAAGAATCATCTAAAAACACCACTGTATTGGACCAAGGCATATTCAAGAATGCAAAGTTTGTGTACATTTCAGATTAATAACCCTGTAAAAGGAAAACATTGTAGATATATGCTTCTAAAGGTAAATTCATGCAAGCACCTGCCTCAATAATGGTATCAAGAGAAAGAATAGAACCAAGAATAATTCCAACAGATATTTCCGTTCTGAAAATAACACTCTTTTAAAATTTGAACTTGACGCATTCAAGTATGCGTATTAGAATGTTGGATGTTAGGCGTAAATAAATTTTCCCATGTAATTTCAAAATTTAGGCAGACAGAATTAACATATACATATGTTTATGACCCATATCCCACTTGAGTTACCTCTTTAAAGAAAACAATAAGGATTTGTTTAAATGGCAAATGTAAAACTGATTTTTTAAATTTGGTCCAGACATACTGTCAAGACTCCAGTTGCTGTAATCACACCAGCTTCACCAAATATCGCTGTCGCAGCTTCAGTGACTAATGCTGTAGCACCAATGTTCACCACTCTGCAAAGATGTTTTCAATAAGAAAACAAGTTCATTAAAAAGAGTAAGCAACGGCCAATGGTGCAGTACGTTGTGCCAGTAAGTATAGTGGTCAGAAATCGAGTGTTATCATTGCGTAGCATTTTGAAAACGCCATCCTCAGACTCTTTTTTAAGCCATACCTGAGGTTCATTACAATATCAGGATCTGATCAATTATGATATCCACGATTCTTTTTTCACAAAGAAATGGTGGAAAATAGATGAGAAAAAAGATTTGAATTCCCATGGAATTGCAGCATACAAGAAATTAAAAAATATGCCTAAAACGAAAATAGCACCAATTACATCCATGTTTGAGAAAATAAAATTTTCAGCATGAGATAAATTGCCAGTTATGTGCCTAGGACTTTACTGTATCCAAGAACTAACTAAAAGTTTTTACCAGAAAACAAAAATGAAATGCTATGATATGATATGATATGATATAGAGATTATAGACAGTGTTCAAGATATGATCCTAGCAAAGGAATCTTGTCAGTCTATAATTGCCATAATTGTTGACGTTTCTGCAACAAAGAAACTATATAGAGCTAGGCATCTAAATATAAACAATTGACAAATCTAACAATTGGTTCGCTTGTTCCAAAGTGCAAGCCATTTGAAGTTTCAAATGATGGAACTACAGTTTCCTTAAAGCTGAACCCAAGAGATTGAGCAGCACTACGTTACTTATATGACTTCATATGCCAGAAAAGTAAAACACAACTTTTCTGCAAACTATATCTAAATCACCAGCTCGTCTGATGGAAGGGAGTATCCCAGTTACTTTAGGATAGAGTAACTAAGCTATATCTTACATGGAACGATACAGATTTCTATTAGAAGGCATCGCCAATAAGCATTGAGTGCAAGAAACATACCCATTACTTACCTTGAACATTCAACATGAAATTTGTACCAAAATCAAGTAAATGAGCATAAGTAAAACCTGCATAATATCTAATCAATGCCACTTTAATACATGACAAAATATTAGCATTCTCAGCAATGCAGCTGTAGTAACCCCAAAGACGTAAATTTACCTGAAAAAGTTATTAAAGATTATAATTCAATAGGGCTGGGCAAATCTCCCGAATCGAACTGAACCCGAACCGAACTTAACCGAACCCGACGGTTCTTGTCAAATTAAATACCCGGACGGGTATCTGAATTGAGAACCGACGGGTACGGTTTGATTCTCGGTTCTAGACCGAGAACCGAATAAGAACCGAATCTTTCTAATTTTTTTTATGTTGAGTAAATCAAATTATTTTAATTTTAAATTTTTCTAAACAAATTAACAATTTCTAAATCCAAATTTTTTGCCAATAATTTTTTAATTTTTGGCCCAAATTACCCATTTTATTGTATCATTTCTTAGCCTAACAAGATCAAATCCACTAAATAACCTTAAACACCTACATTAAAGTGCATAACGTTGTCTCGACTCTCGCACTCACTCTCGCAACCTCGCTAACATTTCAGACCTTATACAATCATCGGTCGACGCTGTGACCTCCGATCGAAGCTGTGACCTCCGATCGAAGCTGTGACCTCCGCCGACCCAAACTTTGACCATAGCGATCATTTGAAAAAGATAGTCTACTAGTCTTTGACATTCCAAAACCATTGAATGTAAGTATTAATATAATGTTGTTATGAATATTAAAAGATTTAATTATAGTACAGAATCGAATGGAACCGAACCCGAACGGTTCCATAATTATATTTGAACCCGACGGTTCCATTTACTAGATACCCGAAGAGAACCGAACCGACCCTCGCCCTCCCTTATAATTCAATATACCTTCCAAGGCCAGAGTGTAGTGATTGAGGTCTCCGCCATGTAGAAAAATGCCGAGAGTCCCAAGAGTGCTACAAGTACCAATCCCTGCTCTTTAAAAACCATTAGCACTTGCCATGCGAAATTACAAACGGAGAAATAAGAATTTAAATATGCTCCATTTCAAAATTTTAAAACTTCAAAAATAAGATATTATAAAATTGTATTTATGAAATAATTAATTGAAAAATATTTTATTAATTAAATATATTAAAGTCACAAATCCATACAATTTGGTCACAAATTGTCAAATCAATCTGTTATAAATTATTTTTTTATCACAAATAAAAAAATTTATAAGTTACAAATCAAAAATTTATGTCATAAATTATTTTTCGATCACGAATCAAAAATTTTATAGATCATAATTTATTAATTGATCACAAATCAAAATATTTTATACGTCACAACTCATTTATCGATCACAGATTATCAAATTAATTGATCACAATTCACCAAATTCTAAGTCATAATTACAAATTTCACAATCACAAATTCCTCTTGGTAACGTATTATTTATTAACCACAAATTAATAATTTATTGATCACAACACTCAAATAATTGGTTAGAGACTCTTTTCTTACCCCCACAACACCCTCTTCAAAACCACCACCATCTCATCAGCATCACCATAGCACTCGCGAAACCACCACCGCACAGTGCACCACCACACCCACCTCAGCACGCCGCACCCACGGCACACCACCATCACATACAGCACAACAACAATACACCACTATATCCACAACATATTATTATTTATTAGTTACAAATTAATCAATTTATTAATCACAATCACCAAAATAATTAGTCATAAACACTCATCCCATTCCACCCCAATCCCAAACCTAAACCCAACCCAAAACCCAAATCCAAACCCAATTCACCACCTACACCAACGAACTACTGCACGAACTCACTACCACTTGAACCACTACTGCCAGTACTATCACCACCTGCTCCTCCATCATTAGCATTGTCGCGCCGCCACCACCTACACCATCTCCGCCAGCGCCACCATTACTAGCACCACACTGTCAAAATTCACAACAACAACAACAACCACCAGCACCACCACCTTGCCGACAGCACCATAACCAACACCCAAAGCAACCCCAAACAAAATGGAGAAAGACACACCACCATTTACAAATACAATGCCGTGCGATCAATTCAAAAGCACTCATAAATCATAGCGCCACTCACCTAAAACTCCCACAACGCAGATCAAAGGAGGAGCATCGCGATCCTAGCTTGGTGCTGTGTGTGGTAATGGCCACGAGGGCGCGACGCAGCTGCACAGAGGCTCTGGCCCTTGTGCAGCATCGGCGCTCTCTATCGGGGACACTGCTATCGCAGCGGTCAACGATGGTTACCTTTTGGCGACAGGCGAAGTTGGCAGGCGATGATGTGTGCTAAAGGGATAGAAGAGAAAAGGAGGCATGTAATTTCCACAATTGGGAATTCAACTTCTCCAGAACTAAATGGGCTTCCAATCCTTAAGTTATGGGCCAGAATTGGATATATGGAGAACAGGAAAGTGGAAATTACACTGTAGCATGTACTTGAAGATCACATTTCAAAAATCTTGTATAAAGTTTGTTTAATCAAAAATCAGGTTTCAATTTAATTATTAATATTATAAAATTAATTAAGACGTGCCCTAATATACCCCACGCCACCCCACCCCAACCCCAATTCACTCCAAATTCATTTTCTCCTCCCCTATCTTTATCGTCTCCGCGTCTCTTTGTATCTCTCTACAATTTTTTTCTTTTTCTTTCTTCACTAGAGTGTCGACTCGGGCAGATCGCCGCTTCTCAGATGATTGTGGTGTTATATCTCTACACCATTTTCAGTTTCTTTTCATCGGAGTGGCGCCTCTGCGAGCAGCGAGCTGGAGCAGTGACACTTAGATCGGAATTTGAGCCATGACGCTCCGTTCATGTGATGCTCTGAGTGCCACTGATCTAATCTGAGGAACACTACTGCAAGAGGCGCGATGGAGATGCTATTTTTGGCCAGGAACTCTACTGCAAGAGGCGCTACTGCATTCTGCCCGGCGCCGCACCGCTCAAGAGGCGCTGCTGCACTTCTGCAAGAGGCGTTGCACGGTGGCGGTCGAAGTGGATCTCTCAGCGTCGACGCCGCTGCGAACAGTTTCTCTGTGTAGGTGGACGTGGGTGGTTTTGGTGACGGTGGTGCGGCGGATCTAGGTAGGACGACAGTGGTGGTAATGGTAGCGACGGTCTCCTGTTAGCAGTGGGGATTTGGGTGGTGTTGGTGAGGTTGGGAACGGTGTATTGTTAGGTGTGTTTGGTGGTGGTTCTTGTTATGGTTCTCGCCCTGGTGGCTGTGGTGGTTTTTGGCGATGGTCGTGTTGGCGGTGGAGAAGGTAGTGAGTTTGTGGGTTGGGTATTTTTGGTGTGTTTGGTGGTGGCGGTTGTGGTGGTTTTTGGCAGCGACGAAGGTGATTGTTCTTGGCAACCATTTTGTTGGCTGTGATGTCGTGGAGTTGGTGTTAGTGGTGGTTGTGATGGTGTTGTGGCCGGGTTAGTGTTTGTGACCAAGTACTGTGGTGGATCAGGATTGGGTGTTTGTGTCTGTGACCAACATTTGGTCCCTTGTGACTGATAACTAATTCGTGACCTTAAAATTCAATTATTTTGTGATTATAAAAGTAATTTGTGATCATTAAATTTGAAAATATGTGACTTGTGACCTATAATTTTTTGAAATTGTGATTTGTGACTTCGAAATAATCTGTAATCCATTAATTTGATGATATGTGACCAGTAATTGTGTACACGTGATCATTAATTATATAATTGTGACATTATTATATTTAATTAATAAATATTTTTAATTAATTAAATAAAAACCTGATAAATACATTAGTTAAACTTAAAACATGGTTTTTGATTTGTACATAGTTAATACATGGTTTATGAATTTTTTCCCAACAGGAAAACAACAAAGGAGGCCCAATTGTCAAGAAAATAGCCTAAAAAAAAAAAAAACGAAGCTCACACATTTCTTAGTATACCAAAATTAATTTCCAAAATGGTCACTAAAGGTTGTACAAAATTTTAAATTGCTCATTGAACTTTTTTCTTCATTTATGTAGTTACTAAAGTTAAATTAACACTACTAGATTATTATTCAAGTGTTGTTACTCTTTTATTCACTAAATTTAATTAATGTTATATTCATTCATTCTAGTGTAAAATCACATCTTGTTAAAACTAAGCTTAACAACATAACACTACTATGTTCATTCTTCAAATGTTATGCTCATTCATCTTAGTGTAGAATCACGTCTTGTTAAAACTAAGCTTAACAACATAACACAATATAAAAGCGAGACAAAATATATAAGTTCAACTCATTCAAATTTATTTCGAATATAGTGTACCGAATAATGTTTCCAAAAACATATCAATGTAAAGGTGTGTGTTGAACTTATTCTATGCATGTCGACTAATGAGTAGCTATAATTGTGGTTCTAGAATCACAAGAGGCCAGTATTGGGGCATCGCAGGCTAGAGCTATCCAAAAATCCTACCAAAGTAGGATACATAAGATCAAGAATTCCAAAATAAATATCTAGTATTGTCGTGGTTAGAGATACCTTGTACTCAAATCTCTATAAGATTTTCATTGCTAGAACTAGATCTCGTGCTGTATTCTGCTACAAGCTTAGAAAACGAAGATGATTTGTCTTCTAGCAGCATTTTTGGAGAATCATATTCTTTAACAAGTCCTGCACCATAAGACGAAATGTTTAAATTTCGAGTAGCACAACAGGGAGAAGAATAATTTGTGGCACTATAATAAGGTCTTCTACATACCGTGATCTAATAATAGAACCATGTCACTGTCTACCACAGACGTTATCCTGTGTGCAATCGTTATAACCGTTGAGTCATAGAAGTGCTTCCTGAGGGTTTGTTGAATCAAATTATCTGTTGCTGTGTCGACTGATGCAGTGGCCTCATCGAGCACAAGAATCTTGCTTTTCTTTAGTAGTACACGTCCAAGACAAACTAGTTGCCTTTGACCAACGCTCCAATTCTCTCCATTCTCGGACACTGGAGCATTTATTGGAAAACTAAGAAATAAGAAGTCGAAAATAATATATGGATCAGAAAGAATTAGAATGCACAAATCTGTGGAAGAGGCAAACCTGCTGAATCGAGCTTGCCTTCCTTCTTGCGAACCTCATCTCCAAGCTGGCACTTATCAAGAGCCTAAGACAGATGAAATTTCATCAGCACATCAAAATAATGCCCAATTCAATGTAGAGATGAACATTTAATTATCCTTTTTATGAAACCTACCTCCCAAATCTGTTCATCTGTATACTCTTCAAGGGGGTCTAGGTTACTTCGAACTGTCCCCTCAAACATGGTTGGATCCTGAGGAATTATACTCAATCTAGATCGCAAATCGTGCAGTCCAATTGATGAGATATTGGTAGTATCAATCAATATTTGTCCATCGGCAGGTTCAACAATGCGGAAGAGGGTTTGTATAAGAGTCGATTTACCACTGCCTGTCCTCCCGACTATTCCAGTTCTCTTCCCTCCAAAGAAAGTACATGAGATGCCTCGTAACACAAGTGGCATGTGTGGAGCATAACGGACCTACAATCAATTATCATCTCCATTAACTCAGAATGAGAAGTTTTAATTTAACCCCAGATCATCAGGATGATTCACTCTGAATTTTAATTTTAAAAAGAAATCACCTGAAGATTTTGAATATTAATTTCTCCGTTTGATGGCCATTGACTTTCTGGCCTACTTGAGTCTACAACAAGAGGAGGCTCACTCGGTATAGAAGTGTACTGAAGTATCCTTTCAACTGATATGATCCTATTTTCCAAGCTGCAAAGATTCCATACAACCCATGATTGTAACATGTTTAGATTAAGCCCATACGTCACTGCTAAGCCCGCAACACCTTCAAATTCATTAAGAAGACGAAAAAGAGTTAGTCATTGTGCCATATTTCTAACTGCAGATTGCATGCGAAGTCAAAAAACTTACTTGGATCGATGGTTCCTTCGGGAATCATGATCAAGAAAATCAATGAAAAGGCAAAAGTAACTAGTGACAAAATATCCAAGCGAACACATAACCACTCCATCGCACCAGAAGTATGGAACTTTGGCCGAGAATATGCATCAATTAGTTTCATGCTCGTGTCACGGAATCTGGATTCCTGATCAAAACTTCTGATTGTACTTGATCCCGAAAGGGTCTCCGAAAAGTGTTGTATTACTGGTGCTTTGCACACGCCAACTAATCGAGAAAGTTCTCGTGCTGATCGTATGTAATAATTCTGCAGAAGATGAAAGCTGAGTTACAGTTTGAAAGAACTACAAAGTATAGAACATCCTTGTGTTGCATTAGTGAGACTTTAAAGTTGAATTAGTTACGTTATCTGAAGAGACAATGCGCGTTACCTGTAGCCATATGCAAATTGCAATCACGGGAATGAAAACGATGAAGACCTGCCACGCTACTTGTGACATAACCGCAATAATTCCTAGAAGCTGTATCAATGAAAAAGCAAAATTCCCAACTAAAGATGGAATGTTCAAATCCACAGCACTTTGATCTGTAGATGCCTATGATAGTATGCATAAAATCATCCGTTAGCAATGATAATGTGTCCGAATTTAAAACAGAAATGGTTTTCAAATACAACATAAATGTGCAATTTTTCTTACCCTATCTAGGATGCGTCCACTTGGAGTGGAATCGAAGAAAGACATGGGGGCACGAAATATGCACTTATGCATTTTGTTGAAAAGCATTGTAGCTGTCTTGTAACCAGCCGTAACAAGAAGCAAGGCTCTGGCAAGAATGCATAATGAACTTCCAATTGACAAAGCAACATAGACAATGATAAGAGTAAAACTGCCAACTAGAGGTACTGCATCCTTGGACACAGGAGTTGCCCAAGCCATCCAATAATTGCTTCCAATTTGAAGTACTTGAAACAGAATTTGTGCCAACAATATAAACGGCACGAGGAGTCCTCCAAATGCAGTAGTGATATATTTCCAATAAACTGATAAACCAACTCGACCTTTCTCTCTTTCTTCTTCTTGAATAAGCTGTCCATTCGTCCCCATTGCATCATCTCTTTCATCATTTTGATCATTGCGAGATTCCTTTTTCTGCAGAGAATTCTTAGCATTTCCTCTGTCGCTATCCTTACCAACCGATGTTGCCCCTGCCTTAGTGGAATCAAGTGCTGATAAAGCTTCCTTGTGTGCACCAACTAGTTCCATGAAATCACTACCGGATTTTAGAATATCATTGTACTTTCCAGCTTGTGAAATCCTTCCGTCTTTCATAACCTGATGATAAAGCAATTAGGTTTTGTGACCTGCACTAAGAATAACCAAGACAAATGAAACAAACAGCTCACCAAAATTAGATCAGCTATCGGTAAAAATTCCACTTGATGCGTGACATAAACAACAGTTTTTGAATCCAGAAGCCCCAATACACATTCCTGCCATTTAAACACCATAAACATCACAATAGCAGTAGACAAATGCATATTTGGAGTTCTATCGAATTGGGGTTCATGGGAAGCAAGAATAGGGTTAAAAAGATTAAGCACAAGAACAAGAAGAATGAGTTAATAAAAATCGTAATATTAAGGAGAAGTAATACATTGAATAGATGAGTTCCTGTATGTGCATCGACAGCACTAAATGGATCATCAAACAAATATATATCAGCATCTTGGTAGAGAGCACGCGCAATCTGTATCCTCTGCTTCTGTCCACCACTCAAGTTGATCCCCCTTTCACCAATAATTGTTTGATCACCATGCGAGAGAATTTCCAAATCTTTCTTTAGTGAACATGCTTCAAGAACTCTCTCGTAGTGTTGCCTGTCCATGTCATTACCAAACAATATGTTCTCCTCGATCTTCCCACTTTGTATCCAAGGTGACTGAGCAACATAGGACTTTCTTCCACTGAGCCTAACGATTCCTGATACTTTGGGCAGCTCCCCCAAAATACAGGAAAGTAAGCTTGACTTTCCCGAACCAACTGTACCACAAATGGCAATCCTCGTGCCATGAGAAACTCTAAGGTTAATATCTTTCAACGTTGGACTAGCAGATGATAAATCCCAGCAAAAATTCCCATCAATTATCTCTACTGCCGTGTCAGAACTGCCCATGGGAAGCCTCTCTATGACATCTGGCTGCAGGTCATCCAGGGAAAGAAATGATGCAATTCGATCAAGAGAAACTTTAGTCTGAACAATCATGGAAATTGTATCTGGCAGATTGTAAATTGGCTCTTGAAGAATTCTAAAGGTTGCAAGTGCGGACAGTATCTTCCCGGATTCAAGTGGGATCCCCATTACCATACAAGCACCAAAAGTTACCACAGAAATGAATGTAGGGGCACCCCAAAAAACAAAAGTGGTAACGGCTGAAGTATAAACATATTTTTTCAGCCATCCTGTCTCGACATTCCTAAGCTCGAGAATTTTGGACAGAAACTTCATCTCCCAAGCTTGAAGCTTGAGAATCCTCATGTTCCTCAAAACTTCAGACGTTGTCTTCATCCTTTTATCTTTCGATTTCATTAGCTTGTCCTGAAATTTTTCTTGCAAACTTCCCAATGGAACATTTGCTAGCATCACTACAACAGTAGCAACAAGTGTAGCGAGAGAAGCAAGCCCGAGATTTCTATATAAAACTGCCAACGCCAAACCAACCTGTAAAATCACCATCCATGGGTCATGCATGTACCAACCAAAGTCTCCTATTCTCTCTGCATCGACGGACATAAAATTAATAATTTCCCCAGATGTATATCCTTGCTTCGATTGGCACGAAAGAGTCAAACCCTTGTTATAGATTTTGGCAACTAATGCCGCCCTGGCCCTAAATCCAGCCTGCTGCACCTTGAAGAACCAGTGTCTCTGGGACAAGCACTCAAACACCTTGGCAATGAAGAAAACAAAAACCAAGACAAAGCCCTCATTTTCAAAATTTCGCCGCCCATTTAAGTATTGAACAAAGGTGTCAATAAGGTATGGACCTACATAAGACGCCAATGTATACACAAGCACATAGACAGCAGACAAAGAAATTTCCCTCCAAGTCATGAAAATTAATCCTTTCGATAGCATAAGTGTGGTCACCCTCTTACTCACCCCACCATCAGACTCCAATTTATTGTTTAGAATTGGAAATGCCCCTCTTACACTATCGAAATTTGCCAACTGTGGGACATCCTCAAGGTCTAAGGTTTTCTTGAAGCCAAGAGAAACCAAAGGACCCATCCAAGAGAAAGTAATGATACTAAAAATACTAGCATTGGCATAAGGGGTTACAGCTTCATCCCCTTTTATTGCCTTATTCGACTCTCTAACATTAGTAGCACTTCCATCTAAAAGGGGTTCTTGAAGATGACTATCTTTGCCATCTTTCTTGCCCCAAAACCCCACATAAAAGAAGAAAATACCCATCGCAATGGAAATTATATCAGATAGCCAAAACAAAGTTGACAAAGTTTGGTACTTTTTGTAATAAATAAGGTCTATCACTAAGCAATAACAAGACACTAAGAATAAAAGTGCCCACCAGAGCCTCAAACTGAGTGGGTACTTTTGTTCACCAAATTTCAAGAACTGGCTTTGCAAGTAAGCATAGAGGGCTAACCAGGCTAGTGTTTTTATTCCCAAATCCAGTGAAGTAAGAATCTTCTCATCAGACGAGCCACTTCTATACCAATAAAAATAATTCAATAGGCATAAAACAAGGTTGAACAATGAAAGAACCAAACATGAAATGAGTGTTGGTTTGTAATGTAAGAGCCTATTGTGCCTAACCCTCTGCTTCTGCCTTTCATCGTCATTACTCCCGATTTTCTTGGAAACCCATGATATGAATATGATTAATAATAAAACCAGGTGCAGAAAGCCAGTGAAGAAACGCGAGAAAATTGGGTTGATGAGAAAATCACGTTGCGTATTTTGGAATAAAAAGGGATGAAATTGAAACACAGACATACTCCCTTAAACAATTCTTTTTCGGCGAGGTTTTGGGTATATCAGCTTATCAGGTTTCTGTGCAGAAAATCATTTGGGAGATGGGTTTTTATCTTAGGACAAACAGAGCCAGATTCAGATTTTTTTTGAGAATGTGGAGCCCAAAGATTTCAGAGAAAGAGTCAAAGAAGGCTGTTCCTTGGGCACAGGATAACGTGGTGACCAAGACTAGATTAACGGACAGAAGTCTGAGTGGGGTGGACAAACGAAAGCATGGAATTTGAGAGAGAGACAAATTAATAGAGACGAAGCTGCATAGAGAAAGTGATACTTCATACGACTCTTTAACACATTGATTGGCATTTTTTTTTCGAATCAAATCACCATCGTTTGCGAAGATCGTGTGACACATGTAACACGAAAGATATTATGAAACCCGATTCTTCGCATGATCACCAATTATCAATTATACCCTTTTGATTTGTAGCCGGCTATACGAAGATATTTTCCCACTTCAATGTAATTGAAAGGCAAAATGAGAGTTTGATAAACTAACGGTTGCTCAACTTGGTGTCATAAGGAGTTTTTCAACAAAATTTATTTAATTAACATAGGGTACCACTTTTTGGTAACAAAAAATTGATTGCATGTGGAAAAGCGGATTACACAAGCACATAACATTGATATAATGATGGAATCTAAGCTTGCAAGTCTGTGTAAAATATTAGATAGCAAAAAATGTAGTATGAAGTTGAGAATCTCACACAATTTTATTATTTTTTTTAAATAAAAATACAATTTTTTGATTGACATTAGATAACAATAATACTCATTCAATCTTCTTGGAGTTCTACTCTCGTGAGATTTTATTAAAAACATTAATGAAAATGTGTGTATGTCCTATAATTAATCTTAAAGATAAGGTGAGAGTTTGATCAATTAATGATGGATAAATTTGTAGAAAAATTGGCATTAATATTATAAGGAGTCTTTCAAAAAAAATTATTTAATTAATAGATGGTTCTACTTTTTGTCCCAAAAAATTGATTGCATATTGAAAAGCGGGATCACACAAATAAATAAAATTGATATAATCATGTCGTCTAAACTTATGAGTGTACGTAAAATATTAGATAGCCAAAGAAGTAATATGTAGTTGAGAATCTCATACACACTTATTTCTTTTTATATATATAAATTGTAAATTTTCATTGATACCACATAACAACAATATTCATTCAATCTTACCAATATAGAATGTTTTGAATGTAGTGATAAATTTTGATACTTTCCTGTGCGTACAACAAAAAAAAAAAAAAATTAAAATTATTTATACAAAGTTTTACCCATTTACTCAGCACTGTTTGACAATCACTATCAAATATGTTTTTTCTACATACTTATTTTTTATCACACATTTGCACAATAAAATATATTTTTACGTAAAATTAAAAAATTAAAAAAATTCCCCACTTTTTAACTATAAATTATCTAAAAAGAGTTTTTGTCAATAATAGCCGTCAAATAGGGTCTCAGAGTTTTGTTTGAAATCATAAACTACAATTTTAAAGAATGTTTAGTGGGGATTAAAATTAAATTTTTTTAATAAATTGTGATAGAAGTTTTTAAAATGCATGATTAAAAAGTTGTGGGATCCATAAACACTGTATTTAATATTGATTAATCCAAATCAAAAAAGCTTTGTCTAGAATGACAAGGTCCGTCAAATAATTAATTAAGCCCCCGTTTGGTCTTCATTCTTGTCAAATTTTAATGGTTGGAATAATTTTTTTTTTTTAAATGTATGGTTGAAAAAAGTGAAAAGTTTTTTATTTGCGCATAAAATAATTTTATGAAAAATTGTGTGGTTAAAAATAATACAGAGAAAACGAATGAGAATGGGGTCAAACGAAGGTTAATTAGCCCTCGTTTGGCCCCCATTTTTGGTAATGAAAATGGGAGGAATAGTGTTTTGTTGAAAAAATAAGTGGTTAAAAAATAAGAAATTTTTTTCGATCTACGTGTAATATTATTTTATGGAAGATTATGTGATTAAAAATATGAAAGAGAAAAATAGAATATAATAAAATGTTATTTAATGGGGTCAAACAGGGCCTAACAATTTGTAATGGAGTGATGTCATCGTTGACAGAGACAGTGCCACGGATTACTTGTTTTTCCAATTCTTTTTTCTTTTCCGAAAACAAACCCCCACCCCTTTCCCAAAAAGGAGTCGACTGATAGAATCAGTCCAAAAGTGTCATTCACTTGATGGACAGATGTAAAATCCCACTTATATGGTATATCCCATATCCCATGTCTTATTATTAAAAAAATATTAAACTCCAACCTTGAAGGTTTACATCACCTCGTTCTTAGATTTTTGTGAGGAAGGTAAATTACGAAATGTGCCTCAACAATCAGGGAACAAGAGCTGCTTATACATTATGCCTATAAAGAATCCAATTCCATGTCTTAGGAATCGAACCCCCACACTGCGACTGCCAGCAAGACGTGAGATAACTGCACTCCTATCATTTGCACCACAGAGCTATACCCTGGGGGCAAATTCCACGTCTTATTATTACTTTTAAAAGATGCTTCTAATCAATTATAAAAAAATATTCAAATATATTTAAAGGTAATTTAAAATTTCAGAATTTCTTTTGACTTTTCAAATACGTAACATATTCTAAACCATAAAATATAAGTTTGAAAATTCATTCTTTTTTAAAGAGATAAAAATTATTATTTTCTTAGCTCTTGTTTGGTTCTCATTATTTTCAAAATGCATTATTTTGTTTTTTATTTTCAACTATGCATTCTTTAATAAAATAATATTACATACAAATTAAAAAAAAAAATTCTTATTTTTTAACTACATCTTCTTCATCAAAATGCTATTTCAAAAATGGTGCTCAAACACCATATAGAAATATTAGCAAGTAATTATTAAATTTTCTAAAGTACGAAATTGAACTAATAAACAATATACTTTGGTAAAATAAGAAATTTTATTTTTTTACAGTTCAATTAGATTTTAGAGATCTTTAAAACATAAACCAAACATTTTCAAATGGTTTGTTTGATTCTTTTTGAAACAATTGAAACTTAAGCCACGTGAATCCAAATCAACGATTTCAAAATCAAGATTTGAATTCGATTTAAAGGTTTTGTTCACCCCACCGATGGCCGTCCCTTCTCACCCTATTACCATCCCTACTTGTAAAAATATAGGCAAAATAATTTTTAGTTTTTAATTAATGTGGAGTTTTTACCTGTATTTTCTTAAGAAGTCGAGCATGATGTGTTTTCTTATAACATTAATGAAAACATCGCCAAGAAGAATTGAAACAAAAATATTTAGGAAAAATTGAAATTAAATACATCAGAATTTAAAACTTAACGAGCAGATTAGGGATTATTTGACAAAAATAAATTGATAATAATTTTAACAGATTTTAATAAAAGTTAATAAAATATATAATTAAAATTATCAATTATTGCCTTTAACATCATCTTTTTAATAATTTTTTAAACTAATATCAGACAAGCACTTGAGAATAACGATAAGTCAGAGAGTTCCCCAACAATTTTCTCTAAAACACAAATAAATTAATCAAGGCGTGGATTTTGACCATAACTACCTCGCTGTTGTGCCGACCAAGGAATGTAATAATAATAATAATAATAGGTTTTGACCATAACTACCTCGCTGTTGTGCCCACCAAGGAATGTTGTAATAATAATAATAATCGGTCAGAAATATGGGCCAATTTTAGGGGTCCTCCATGTCTCGATTTCGTTTTTTTAGAGTTTGTCCCTACCTATCATCTTGTCGTTGTCTTATAGAATGGCTCAAGTTTCTTCTCTTCTAGACAACTGCTTTTGTTTTATTTCTTGATGCAAAGTAGATTTAGCTCATGTTTGGTAGCAATTTTCATTCTAAAAAATCAATTTTGTTACCGTTATTTTACTATTTCATTTTTTATTTCTTCACTCATAAATGAAACCCATTTTTCTCTCTAACGGTCAAAAAATTAATTCTGGTAATTACTAGCGAACAGACCCTTACTAATGAACTGGATAGCACACAAATATTCTACCAGTCTTTCTTTTAATAATCTAAGAAATTTGAGACATTGTTGAGAAGTGTTGATTTGTAATGTGATTCAAGGTCACCATTCTTGAATTTCTCTGATAAAAATCATTATGCAAAGAGGGAGATCATACGTTTTTCAAACTCACGTGCTTTTAATTAAGAGAGACGGTGATTACGAAATTAATCAACATTATTGTGATTGTTGGTAGAGATTCTGTAAAATACGTAAGTCACAACACTAAAGTAGATACTGCTAGATATTATGAAAATTAGAAAACATTATTAATGTTATTGTTAGTAAAGATCATATGATGTACGCAATCAAAGTAGAATATATTGATTGGACCACACAATAAATATATTAATTCGACCTCCTTGGATTTACTGCACTTGTGAGATGCTACTAAAAAAAGTATTGAAAACTTGTTCACGTCATAATGTTAATCACGAGAACAATTAATTATAAAAGTAAAATTTTTTGAATGTACACAAGAAAAATAAATTAAACTCTAGCTTAATTAATTCAATATTCATTACACAAAGTTTTACCTGCTTGTTCATTTTGTTGTCGAAAAAATTAAACTAATTAAATTGCTAACAACCAATAGTCTACATTAAAAATTAAAATATAAAGGTATCATCACAAGTTCTTTAACATTGTTTAACCTTTCTATTAGTCTTGCACTTTCTCGTTTTCTTGTGTATCAAAAATACAAATTGTAATAATCAATGCGATTTTGTTTCTAAGCCTTTGTTTGAGTCACATTATTTCCATAAAAATGTATCTTTAAATAGTGTATTGATGAGAAATGTGTGGCTAAAAAAAAGAAAATTTTTTGAATTTGCGTGTAATATTATTTTATTGAAGAATGTGCAGTTAAAATGATGTCAAATTACTGTTTAAAAATGTTGATTAAACAGGGTCTAAATTATTGAAGCACGAATATATTATTTCTAGAATCTTAAAGCTTGCCAAATACTTAGTTTGAATAAGAGAATGACGTCACCATTGATGGAAGATTTAAATAGGAGGTCGACATCGAGAAGTTTGATTTAAAGTGTGTTTGGTAGGGATTAAAATTAGATCGTTATATAAATTTTTGAACTGTGTGGTTGAAAAATTATTGGACCCAT